AAAAAAAAAAACACAGCTCCTACACATGCGATTTCTTGAAATGTTGTTCGTGGATTTTCTCTTGCAGGATCACTTTGGACAGTGCAGCAAGTTCCCAGTAACTTGTTCCAATAGTTGTGGGGCTTCAATTCGAAGGGAAATGGTAAGACTTTTAGTTTTGTCTTTTGGGCTGGCGTACCTGCATTAATCGAGCTTACCTGTCAAAGTTTCAGGCCTGCAGTGTGAGGTATTTTAGTTGAAACATTTCAAAGGTTTGATCAACCGTATGAAGACAGTGCCGGAATTCCTATACGGCCAGAGTTGTATGTAATTGTATGCAGAATAAGGTAATAATTTAGCCTACTATTTAATTTCGTAACTCCCGCCCGCCAGTGCAGTCGCTGCAATATTTCCAATAGAACACTTGTGCCATGGTGCTAGCCTATTAATTAGGGAGCTTAAGCAATGATGACGACGACACCAGAATTCATCACGACGCCTTGTAAAAAATGAATTTCTGTTTTCTCTTTGAAAAAAATAAGGTCAAGTTGGCACAACAGTTTTCTGCTTTTCTTTAAGTGGTTTGCACTAACTGTGATACAGTGAGCAGTCCCAATCTATTCTATGGTTGGTCAGGTGTTGGTGTTAGCCTCTTACCCAGATGCTCTTTGGGGTCCGTCGTCACGCAATCTTCCTCCCCCACGAACGTCTGCTGAAACAAAGAGCACATTCCTTACCCTTTGTTTGTAAAGATCAGCTGGAGATCACCTGAAAATTACTTTGGAGCCAACCGGCGCCGGCTCAATGTGTAATAAATAGCTAATAGTAAACTGAACGGCTCCCTTCGGGAGAGAACTACGATGCTAACTGTTTCGTGTCACGTCAACGGCAACGCTCTCAAATGAATTTTTTCTTATCCTGTCCGAGTTCATAGATTTACGAACACTTAATCTTTTTCACGCCAAAATACACTATAGTTTCTCTAGGGCGACTTAAACAGAATTAAATATCGTAAATTTCTCACAAACTCGATGAAAGGCCATAAGTCTGATAATTCTTATATTTTGGGGTCTTGTGATCATCTCTCAAGTTTTAAGCAGACTTCCCGCAGGCTTCAGCACTTGAGAGGAAGTAGCCTAATTAACGAATGTTTGCGTACGAATACGCCCATTACTAACTTCATGTAAAGCTCTGTAGCTTCTTACCGATAAGTTATGGAAATACTCGTTGAAAGATCACTCTGGTTTCCGCTGAAGTCTCTGGTAAATTTCTCTGGCTCCAAAGTCCGCAGCCGTGATTAGGACGCTGGAAAAAAAAGGGAAAGAAATGTGCCCTTGGCAGCAGACTTTGAGCAGTGTTTGATTCTTTAATCCCATGTTGGTTGGTTCGTTTCTTCGTTCGTCAAGTGTTTATTATTATTATTATTATTATTATTATTATTATTATTATTATTATTACTATTCCTTTCAGATTCGAAATCACACTGAATATTATTGTCCACTAACCATAATCTCTTGCCCTTATGAAAAGATGGGATGTGAAATCAAGGTGAGTACATCAGCTTTTCGAGAACGCAAGCGTAAAAAATGTGCGCGACAATGCCGAAAGGTATTATGAATCATGCTAGTTCACTATTGCTTGATCGTATGTCCAAGGGGAATCGTATACATTGTATTCAACAGGATTTGTGATTTTTCCTTCGATCACGCTGAGATCGTCCATAAACTTGATGATCACGGAAAGGTACTATCTCTTTGCGTCAACCTTTTTACGTTTGATTAGGAAATCCTTTCCCGAAACAGCTGTAGGTGGATACAGTTCACGATTTGAAGACATTATTGATCGTCGCAGTTATACACAACTTAACCAGTTGTAAATTAAAGCCTGAAAAAGATCCAGGAATTCGAACCATGACCTCTGCAATACCGGTTCAGTGTTCTACTAACTGAGCTACAGAGCCAACTGGGAGCTATGCCCGTTGGTGGTGAAGAATACAAGTGAATATGTATGAAATATCATATATTTGAACTGCGGAGAAAGGTATGAAGACACGATTGATCATCGCAGTTATATACAACTTAAGCCTGAATTTTTTTTCAGGCTTAATTTTACAACTGCTAAAGTTGTGTATATGACTGCGATGATCAATCATGTCTTTAAATCTTTCTCCGAAGTTCAAATATATATATTTAGTATAATTTCAGAGCTGAGCAAATAGTTTCCAGTAATCAGATTGGTCGAGCGATTCCTTATATGACGCTATATTCACCACTTCAGGCGGTGAATATATCATTTTCGAGGCCTGGTTATTATGCTTGCCACCTTTGCCATCTCGGCAAGTAAACATGGATGTTTGGAAGGATGGAGAATTTTCAAAATGACCGCTGTCGCACTTGGACCAAAAATCCTTTCAAGAACTCGTATTGAAGGAATTTAAGAATCGCAAACGCAGTGGTAACGTTGATCGCCAGCAGGTCAGATTGATTGACCGAAATTTATTTTTCTCCAAACTAAGACTGGTCATTTTTAGACGATGATGACAACTGTGAATGAAGTCAACAACGATAAAACAAAGGTACCGGATGAATTTATTTTTCGTAGTGTTTCGCTTGTTTGTTTTACTGCCGAACTTGATGTGTAAATTGATTCACAATCGAATTAAGCTTACATGTAAGCTTATTTTTAAAACTACGGCTGCATGCGTGTATACAAACGAACAGTCTATTTTAGTTGCTATTCTATGCTTCACCTATGAAAACTGTACTAAAACAATTATTCGCCGAAGGCGAGGTGAACATTAGTGAATATTCACCGATGTTCACCTCGCCTTCGGCGAATAATTGTTAAATATTTCATATATTCACTTGTACAGTTCGTGATTCTTATAGTAGTTTTTAGATTTGTCGAAGTATTATACCTTGAGAGCATTTGAAACATCTATATTTGTAATTGTACTACACTGCTGAATTTACCATAGAACACAATACGTCCATTTTTGACAATTTAAAATACAGTCCTCCTTTGTCCACCAAGCATTCGTTACCAGCTCACTCAAGACAAGAACTTACTATTTGCAATGTTCTTTCAAAAGTTCATCTTTATTTGTAGGTTCAGCGAGTTCAAGTGGATTCCCATCTTCAATCAGCCACGAGACTTCATCTTGACTTGGCCTGTGTAAAGTTAACTAACACAGAAGCTAAGTTAAATGAAACAGAACAGAAACTTGAAGCAACACGGAAAGTAGTGGAGAAACTCGACACGCGAATATTTATCTGGAGAATTAACAATTTTAGTGATATTTGGAGACAAACAAACTTTAGTACAAAGACCGACCAAAAACCTAGTAGAGAAAGTGTTCCGTTCTATACTGATAGAACAGAAAGTTATGGATACAAGTTAAAAGTACGTATTCATCCTGAGAGCTCTATTGGGCGTTTTTGCGGTTCAATGGTGGTGGCCATTGTTGTAATGAAAGGTGAATATGACGCTATATTATCCTGGCCTTTCGAACAGAAAGTGAAATTTACCTTGATTGATCAACAGGAAGATCCAGTTGAACGGAAAAACATTACGCATCTGTTTTATTCCGGCCAACGACCCAGAAGCCTTCGCAAGACCTTTGACAGGAGACAACAAAGAGCGTTATGGTTTTCTTTTATCTTTCGCAAAACTTCATTCAAGGCGTTACCTTGTGAATGACACATTGTTTCTTCAGGTTGAGGTCAGCTCTCCATAACTTTCCGCGCCTGAAAACTTAAACGTTTCTCGGCACAATAGTTATAAAACAACTTTTTTACAGCCAAACAATAACTGCAGTTACCACGGGTGCGAATGGAAATAACCCGAAAGCGGTAAAGGGCCAGTTTGTTAAGTTAACCCGGTCACAAATTGAAATTTATCAGTGTACGGTCAGAGTTAACAAGTTTGGGCACCGATTTCAATAAATACTTCATGCGTGGCGAGCTTACAAAATAGCAAAAAGTAACACAAAGAGTATGTAAATTGATAAACAAGAGTGTTTTCTATTAAAGCAACTGCGCCGACAATCAGTAGTCAATCAATGGTTATTTTTGGCAACCAAAAAAAAAAATCTCTAGATCGTTTTCATTGTTAGAAATGTCTCTAACACACCGCGAGATATTTTTGTATTTTACGCCCTCTTTGAAAGAATTAGTATTAATAAATCGTCTCTATCCTTAAGCAAACTACGTGGGTGGAAAAAGGCAACCTCTCTCCTTGTAGTCCATAACATGAAGTAACCCCTTCCCGGTTACCATATTCCAGCTAGAAGTCCTCTGTAAATGGATAGTTGTAGTCAGTCGATATACGATCTTGGATGTTGTTTGGAATTTAGTGTTTGGCTAATAAAGATTAAATGCAATGAAATAATACCTGCTTCTATTGTCTTTAATTTCCTTATACGCCCTGTTTCCTGTCTAATCACCGTCTTTCCCCATTTACTATTATGTAAACAAGTAATCCCTCATCCTTACTCTGTCGTCATAAAAAGTTGTAATACTCGTCAAAAAAGAAAGAAAAAAAAAGATTCGCACCTTACACGGAAGAACAAAGCCATAAAGGCAGTTTTAGATTCCACAAAAACCCAGAGACATAATACAAAATGATTATTCAAACTCTTCTTTGCAAAAAGCTTAGGTTTTAAAGTGCCCATAATGTCCAATTTGTCCATTTTTTCATTTCATTCTGCATTTCACTCAATTAACTTCTGCGAAAAAAATTTTCAGTCGATTTGGTTAAAACACAATTCTTTTTACTGAAATTTTTAAAAACTTCAAAATCGTATTTTCTTGCGGTCACGAGAATAACGTGCTCAAAAATGGCCACGTGACTTTAGTTTGTGACGTAGGTTTAGGAGCCTGGCTCAGTCTTGCATATAAATACATAAATCGTGCTAATTGTAAGCGGCAAGGCACCTTTCTGGCATTTTGAACTAAATGTAAACAACTGAAGCAAAATCCCACGTGTTTTAATACAAGTCAGCCACGCCAAGACCCAAATCACGTATTCCTGAACCCACTTCACGACTCGTTTCAAACTGAGGAAGACTAGTGGGAATGGTGGACCAAAATGGCGGCAAATTTGAACATCTTCAAAAAATTGTAAAAAACTTGCGTTTTATGAGGTGCACTGGGTGAAAGTAGAATGAGATGGAGAAATGGCCAAATTGGACATTATGGGCACTTAAACCTTACATTATATGTTGCATTTTAGTAAATGCTGGCCCCGGTCGCAATGTTTTGTCAGTTTTGACCGCAAAACAATTCAGAGCACCTATAATGATAAGTAAACATTATTACTCGCTTGGGGAGTAAGACATAAAGTGAAAGCATAATATATATGGGTGTAAAAAAACGTTTGCAATGGCACATTAATATATACATGAGCTACATCTGGCTCTGACAGGGATGCTTATCCTTCAATCCCTTTTCTGGTAACAAATTGTGTAAACATTGCATTCATCGTCTAGGGGTAAGCATGCCTCCACCCAACCGTTGCAGATGGCCTCCTATCACTATAGATTCCGGAGGCGTGCTACAGGCTTTGAGGCTTTAGTGAGTTAGCTAAGGCCTAGGGCAAACGTCGAATCCAAGTTGCGTCCAACAAATTAGACATAGCTGCGACAGAGTCAACTTAATTTCAGCGTGGTAACCAGCGTCGAACTTGCGTCGATCCTATTTCACAAGTTGCACTTCATTAAAACACGGGAATAAGCTCGTGTCCCCGTGCTATTCACTCGATGCGCGGCAAGTTACTGCTAGGAATTGCTAGCGAAATCCCGATACTCGGCTCTTCAGACAACGGTAGACCCAGCGCGGCTCTCTTTAGGTCCCTGTCACAAGCCTCGCAGTATGCAACGCTTTTACCGGATGTCCATCCCTCAACGTCATCGTTTTCTTCAAACACTGAGCATTATTGCAGATAGGCAATTCGCATCTCAAGCATTTATATTTAGTGTTCATGATACAGGAACAGCACATTTCTATCGCACTGTGCGATGTCTGTAACAATTACTTTCGATAGCTCCCCTTCCCGGCATTCTCGTCCCCAGAGGCCGGGGGGGATAGCGTTTCGCAGATGGGGGAGTATGTATTTTTGCGACGTTTGCCCAATCCATCACATTTGAATCAATTATCAGTGCAATTTGCATGATTTATGAATTGAGTTCAGCGCGTGTTTAGAACGGCGTTTACTGAAACGCCGAGCCACTGTCGCATTATCCGACTCGGCAAGTCGAACTTGTGCTAGAGTCGAACCAATTAATCTGAGTCGAACTTAATTGCGGTGAACGTAGCACCATTCATGCCCCTCTTTCATTTAAGAGGTTCGACGAATTCAGTTCGACAAAGATTCGACGTTTGCCCTAAGCCTAAAGTAAGAAGGCTCGGCCTTGTGTGGTCAAAATAATATACCGTAAATCCTCGAGTAAGCGCCCCTTTCGAATAAGCGCCGCTCCTGTCGGCCAAAATTTAAAATAAGCGCCCCTTCCCCTTCCCCCATTTTGTGGACGAGTAGTGAGACAGCAAAGGATGTATAGTTTTCGTCGTGTAGTATTAGGCCCGGGGCAAATTTCTAATCTAAGTCGCGTAGAGTAAATTAAAAGCAGGTGCGATTTAATTCCAGCATGGTAACAAACGTCGAACCTGCGTCGATCCTCTTCACAAGTTGCACATCATCACTCGATGCGCGGCTAATTGCTGCTAGAACTTGCAAGCGAAATGGCGTTTGCTGTAACCACTGTCGCATTATCCGACTTGGCAAGTCGAACTTATGATAGAGTCGGACCCATTAATTTGAGTCGAACTTAATTGCGGCATTCATATGCCTATTTCAAAATAAATAGGTTCAACGAATTAAGTTCGACTAAGATTCGACGTTTGCCCCAGGCCTTAGATTTGTACATTGTTTCAGTTTGTGAACTCGTTAAGTTTGGAAAAAAAATCCAGGTATTAACGGTGCCGCGATTTAAACGTTAGGATCAGCTTTTTATGTCGATAAACAGCTTAAATTGCTGTCTACCCGCAGATGATGTATTAAAAGAATGATTACGTGAAGCCACGATTTGGGAAAAAATAAATATGCGACCCTCTCGATTACGCGCTTCCCTCGAATAAGCGCCCCGCGTCTTCTCCTAAATTTGAAATAAGCGCTCCGGGCGCTAATTCGAGGATTTACGGTAAATGGAAAAAGACTGTTTTATCCCCTGATTTTATTTTTCTAACATATATTATATTTTTAAAATACAATACATCACACAATACGTCACACACACGCTGAGATTGTCACATAATCCCAGCGGCACTAAATATCAAAATATTGATGAGACTTGAGGTGGATTTTGTTTGATCCCAGAAAGCGTTCTCTTTCAAGTGATAATTTACAACATGGCAGAAGCTCCAAGAAATAGGCTACCTTCGGGTTACGTCGAGGGCTTTGTGGATGCAGCTGAAGATGAGAATCTCTGTTTTGCCGCTTAAGGAACCTGTTCAAACGAGATGCGGTCACAGGTTTTGTAAAGAATGCCTCGAGGAACATTTTAGAAGGTACGACTTGTAGCTTTAATTTGATTGTACTGAAACCCGGGCCACTCAGACAATGAAAACCGATCAGATGGCAGAACTGAAACAATAGATTCCAACATTTCCAACAATGTCCTATTTTCAAATCCACCCAAGCAAATGTCCTGCACAAAACAATGAAATCTCAACTTGTTCGTTGTGAGTGCTTACGAGACTACGGTGTCGCTTAGCAATAAATTGTCAAACTCGAACCGTTAGTACTTTCGCGTGCTTGAATTGAATTATATGCTGCACTTTCTATGGGGTAGTTGGTTGGTTTAGAAAATACATGAAAAGAAAAGCAGCGTAAGAGTATCACTTGTAAATTTATATCGCCAGAGTGTGGGGTGTAGGGTTTGAATATTGTCGCGGCTGTTTAAAAAAAAAACTCTTCATGATCAAATGGAAACAGTCAATCTAATTAGTTTATCACGCTTGTCAATGTTAAAACCTGAAGTAAAGCAACAATATTTTCTAACGCGAAAGTCCTAACGGCTTGAGCTTGTTTGAGGCGTTGCCTTGAACTGTTTACAATGAACTACCATATTATCACGAGTGCCGGTTTATAATCATTACACCCGATTCCCGCCCTATTTCCGTCAAGTGGTCGCTTACGGGAGGTTAACAACAAAAGAAAATTCCGAAATTTTGGCTCTAAAAGTGGTCGTGGTCGCTTACGAGAGGTGGCTGCTTACAAGACAATCAAATATAGTGATTTGACTTGGAAACTTGTACATTTGGTATTTTGGAAAACTGGTCGCTGAGGAGAGATGGTCGCAACCGGAGGTTCGACTGTTTTTTCTAGCTTATATTGGGAACAACAACAAGCGTCCCAAAACTTTTGAAAAAAAGTTGTAGAAATGAAAAACTATTACATTGTAATGCACGCCTTTCCCAGCTTCATTGTTCAGTAAAAGTAGTATGTATCCTACCCCGTTTGGTCTTCTCGCTCATTAGCTCTAGTAAAGAAAGATTTATTTGTCCTCTTACTTATTAGTATAACATTCCAATTCACCTGCTCTCATTTTTACTCTTTGGTTATTTTAACTTGTTGTTTAAGATGTTTTCCCTGACAAAGCTACAGAGAGGAAGATACTTTCTTTAGCCATCAAATTTCCAAGTGAAGGTTGCGAATTGACCGGTGACAGAAACAAAGAGGTAAAAAGCATATTACAGTTTCAACTCATCAACCAAGGACGCATCGGTCAGTCTCAATATGAAGTAAAATACTCG